AAGGATGATGCTCTTTACTAAGAGAAAGGCAAATGCTAACTGGAGCAAATTGAGATGCAGTCTTTCAACCATCCAATTTGCAGTATATGCATGTGCTGGCAAGAATGTTGGGACAGAACCAACAATCCCATGTTTGGGAGCCCAGATGTAAAACTTGAAATGCTGATGTGTCAGAGTGTATGTAAAAATGTTTGCTGCTATCTATGTTGTCTTTATGGAGAGGATATAAAAAGGAGGAGCTTGAACTACTATGCATAGAGAATGGTTGAATAAACTGTGGACCGTCCATGCCATGGAACAGCATGACAGTATCAAAAGGCTTAATGGGAGATGGTCAATATGTGCTATTAGCTGAAACAAAACATGAGAAATATGTGTACTGTGAACATAATATGAATGTGTGTACTCCCCTCTGTATAAAATCATACTACTAACACCTCTATTGCACGTATGTATGTCCTTTGCATTATTATGAAAAAAATGTGGACAGATACTTACCAGATAGTCAATGTGGATTACTTTAATGGTATATGTTTTTCAATAAAGTGGGGATATTACCATATTATTCCATACTTGCATGTTTGTATTTATTTTCATGTTTCCCTGATTATAGTGAGCACAAGTCACTTTTGCTATTTAAAATCTACCCATAAAATTGGAAAGAAAATGAAATAAAGCTGATAATATTTACCTGCTTCTGGAAACATCTACTTCATTTGGAAATACGGATGAGTGATTGCTGGCTTTGCTAATCCATGTTGGATGTGGGCTTCCCTATGTATGGAACCAATGACTTAACACTTCACATTTCAACAGATAAAAATGGGAGTAATGCTTTAACTTGGGAGATAGGTGACATGTTCTTTACTGTCTTATTTCTGCCTGGAGACATTTTTGATGTTATACACTCACTCACTGCATGCAAACAGTACTAACTGCACCTGGTGCCTTCCACCCTGGACAGATGAAGCCTACAGACCACTGGCCATAGTGTTTGTGTTGTTTGCCATTGAAGCAAATACATGGTCAATTAATGAATTCAACTTATTTTAAAATAAATAAAAGTGTTTTATTAGTTTCAGTTCATTGATTAAAGTTAACTTTAAGACAACAATATTATTATTACATGTTTTACATTTGGGACAGGGTGATATTGCAACTTTTTGGAGTTTTGCTTTGATTTCAGTTGAATAGAAAGTAGGCCCATTGTGCACTCTGGATTAGTGGTTTCTCAGGACATGTGATGACTTGTGACATGACTTGAACTAGGGTTTCACACTCGGCCACAGGGGGTGAGGAGGAGAACCTGGAGTCATTTGGGGTAAGATGGGAGATTCTCTGAGGTTAGGTTGTGTTGACACAGCCTGTTTTGTTTTTCTCTTAATGTTTTTATATCCTGGGTCACATTACTAGGATGACTCACTTAAGGGGGGGCACCCATTATGCAAAAATGCATCTTAAAAAACAACTTCAGTAGGAGTTATTTTCATTACTGAGTAATTCAGCAGCGCTCCTTTAAAAACCATCTCCCTTACTGCATTTAAGGGTATTATTTACAGATGATGAGCTATTTGGCTAGAAAGAAGGACAATTTACGTCTAAAACATCCAAGGCCAGTTAAAGAAGTATGAAAAAAATACAAACTCAGGAGTAATCATGAAGGTCATAACACATAGGATACAATTTACAAAAGTGTAATATACATACGCTTTTCTCCAGCAGCACAATGGTTACCCCAAAATGAGAAATATGTGCCTTCAAGTTAAAAAGCAGGTGAATCCTAAATGATTGCTGAGAAGTAATGGAAGCTCAGCTTTTGGGGAAAAGGCTGCACGCTTAGAGAAAAAGAGGCCACACTATTCAGAGCTCAAAGAGAAGACCACAGTTAGATCAGAAGTGAAGGGAGGAAAGGTATCTCAGGTGACTGTGTATGCATCCTGTGTGTATGCCTGTGTGTGTATGTCTGTGTGTGCATGTGCAAAAAGGACCCTTTACGTGCTGGATGAATAGAAAATGAAGTGTGACATTGTGCCAGAATGTACACCTTAATCTGTAAGAAGAAACCCAAGTAAATGTTGCAAGAAGCCAGCTAACCACAAACAGCCTGGCCCAAAAAGGCATTGCTGACTTGGAGAACTGAAGGAGAAGGGAAGCCTCAGCCACATGCCTTAGGAGGAATGGATAATCTTTATAGTCAGCAACAAAGCGTGGTCTCAAGCTGAAAATAGTAGAGAAGGGGAGGTCTTAGGTTGGCTGCCCTAACCGAGCTTGTCAGTCAAAATACCATTGCTTAAGGGGTCAACAACTGTAAAAGGGCAACAGTTTTTTTTATTTTGTTTTGTTTTGTTTTGGGATAGGAGGATTAGCTATTGTTATTTTTTTAAAACTACTATATACAAGGACATTTACTTTCGTTATTATTTTTTAAAAAATTGCTATCAACTTAAGTACCCCAAATGGAGGGGGGATAGATTAGACTGTGATATCATTAAACAGTAGATTATTATGAGATCATTAACATATTTTCACGAAGTACACATAACATGATGGTAAGTGAAAATAATAGGATGAAAAATGCATACATGACATAACTGATTATGCAATTTTCAAATGAAGGGTGTTGGACACACATCATACAGTTTCTATAATTATTATAAATTTTTACTCTGAACATCATTTTAAAAAGTACCATTATCAACAGTGAAGCGACAGTCCCATTTTCTATTTTCAATGATGAAATAGACACTTTAAATCAGAGATCAGCATACCTTTTTTTTGTAAAGAGCTAGATTATCAAAATTTAAGGCTCTGTGAGCCTGAGCCACCTAGTCCCTTTAACCTAAATCCATTCTTTTCTCACAAGCCTTGCAATAACAGGCTGTGTGCTGGATTTGGCCCCTGCACTGTAGTTGGCTGACAGCTGCTTCACATGACTTCATTTCCACTGCATGTTTCACCTGTTTTCATATGGAGCACTTGTGGCATAGTCTATATTTGACATGGATGACACACACTTTCCTTAAGACACTTTAGAATAGCTGCACCTATTAAAACTAGCCCTTTTTCAGCACTTAACTTATTTTGTTCTGTTCTGAAAAGTAAAATATAAATGCAGCCTCTGATTATAGAAAGCCACACTGTCCAATATGCTGGCCATTAGCTTCACAAGGCTTGTTAGTGTAACACTAATTGAAATTAAATAAAATGAAAAAGCCAGTGCCTCAGTCCCAGGAGCACATGTGCTGGACAATGCAGATACAGGATATTTCACCCCAGCTGGTTCCATAGGACAACCACCTTAAAGAAAAAGCAAAATAGTACTTTGGAACTCAACCCAACTCTCCTTTAAAATTAGTATTTATAGAGAAGAGGGAGGAACCAGTGCAATGCAATGACAACAAGATGTAGAGTCAGATTGGACCCTACATCAGGAGAGAACCCAAAGGTTAAATCATTTCCCCAGGTTTGGAAAAGAAATCTGCCACACACTGGTTGTGTGACCGGGTGAGTTATTCCACCTCTCAGTGCCCTTTGTTTCCTAGGCTGTAAAGAAAACATCACAAAACCTACCTGGTGCAGATTTTGCAAGGATCAAACAAGGCTGAGCTTGTGAAAAGGGAGAATAGCATTCTAATCTATGAGATATATGCATGAATATTTATACTGGCCCAAATGGGACAATTTTCATAAACTCAGAAAGAAACACTACTTGTCAGTGTGACTAGATTTTGGCTTCTTGGGGACCCGGAATTTCATGAACGTCAAAACTGCTATTGAGGATTATACTCTGGGAGGTAGAAGCACTAGGCTGCTCCCATGACTTGAAGCTTTCAGGGATACTCATATTGCTCATTATCATGTTTTGGGGTCCCTGTTATTACTTCTAACCTTTGCTCCAAAGCGAAGAGTTGGGTTTGTCTCAGCCTTTGGGAATTGAGATGCTTGGTTTGGGCACATGGTGAGGATTCTCCTCTGTCTCTCATCCTCTTAATCATCATGAGCCTGTGGCCTCTGTCTCTATCACCCCCTTCTCTAGCCAGTCTCAGAAGCATCCCTCCTTGTCCCTGGTCTCCAGACTCACTTTTGAGCACTGATCTCAGTGAGGACCCATTTGAGTAGTTATAGGAATTTCAGGGTGCACACACTGTATGAAATAGATGACAAGGTCTGGACTGTGGCTAGGAGACTTTGGGGGAACGGGGACAAACTGGCTGGGGGCCAAGGTAGGATCATGGAGGAGACTTTAGGTCCTGCTCTGGGAATTGGGGTGGAAGTGGGTCTTCTTCAGAGCATCCATCTCAGGCAGAGAAATCCTTGTTTTTTCCACCTCAACATTATGATCTAGCTTCCATAGTTATTTTGGTTTCCTTCCCCTAGCTCTTGAGGGGTATACTTATATCTATTAAAGAGCCTTTATATTGTTGTATCTCCCAGTTAAATGTGGAGACAACCACACTTTTTTCTCTCTTCCTCCCCATTCTTAGTGTACTCATATAGCCAATGATAGAACAGCCTTGCAAACAAATCATTAGCCCACAGTAGTAATATTTCCCACAGTGAGAAAATTGTACTCAAGAGGACTAATCCAGCACCTTTTGCTGGGGTAGGGTGCTGGTTGAATGGCATGAATATTTTACTTGAATTATCTGCATACTAATTTACAAAGCTGTGATAGAAGGCAGGCAATGAGCTGAGGCTTTCCCCCACCCCTCCCCCACCCCATTATCCCATGTCGCATCCATTGGACCCAATCCTGACAGGTCTTCACAAAGAATGGCTGGGACATCCGGGAAGTGAGGATTCAGACGTAATGAGCAGAGGGATTAGACTCGAAGGCAATGGGGTAAACAAAGACATGCTTACAAAAATCAAATTCACCTTGTAGGGAGCCACACGGGAGGGTGGTGCAAAGGGAGGGAAAGAGAACTTACATGGCAGGGAAGGTGACTGGACTCAGAGTTATGTCACAAAACAAAAAGAGAGCCACAACATGGGCTTACTTGCAGAAGTATATACAAGTGAACTGGGGGCACTGTACATGGAAGATCCCTCCTGGTTTGCCTGGCACAACAGCACCGTGCCTACGAAAGAGAGAGAGATAGATGGTATCTGGTTTGGGAACAGGCACACTACACCTGAGAGATCAAGGCAACGAAAATGAGAAAGGCAGAGAAATGAAAACATAGCCACACCCCAGAATGCATAACAGGGACCCCCATAGCAGCCCCCTGCATTAGCCAAAGGGAGTTGGTGAAAGCCCATTCCCAGCCCACCAAGCTCATGTCACTTGTTTTCAACATGGGGTTGGACTGGTGCAGTCCAGCTGCCCCAGGACCCCAGTTTCAGAGCAGTAATGCCATGCTCAAAAGGGAACCTAGAAATTTCAGAGAAAATGAAATAACAAGCATGAATTAGACACTACTTAGCTGTGTGATCATAGCAAGTGACTATACCTCTCTGTGCCTTGGGATTCCCATCTGGAAAATGTGGTGAATATACCTACCTCCAAGAGGGGTTGTGAATCATATGACTGGAAACATGCCCCAAACAGAGGGGCTGGCACATAATCGTTATTCAATAAATTGTAAGCACATGCATTGGTATGTTTACAGAAAATTTTTCCTCCTCCAACTTAAGTTGTTCCAAGTAAGTTCTTCAGAGGAAGAACAGAAATAAGATAGGGAAAAAACAAATGCAATTTTTGCCATTTCTGTGACCCACCAGGACCCACTCTGGACCCAGAGGATGAGACAATCTATGACTTCTGCACTTCCTGTTTCATTCCTAAAGTCCCCAGCCTTCCGTTGGGAGAGGCTCTGTCACTAACCCTGCAAACCAACCCCAGCTGCATTGCACCACTGACTTTCCTCCGCCTGATTTAAAGCAAAGGGCACCGGGCTTATCCTTGCAAAATGGAATTTTACAGAGGAGAAGAACAGTGGAATCCTGAGATAGCTCCTCAATCTATGCCATGTTTTGCACAACCACCCCACTCCAAGGATGACCAGGGTCAGGAATCTCAGGATATCAATTCTGCTCTCCTGCTGCTGCAAAGCTCAAACGAAAGGCTTTGAAAAGAGTGAGAGAGACATTTGAGTTTTCAGCCCATTACTGATGATGGAAATACATTCCTGGGGTTTCTGTTCACTTCCCTGTCTGGGCAAGGTCAGCCACCCCCATTTGTTTCAGTATTCTCCTGTCATCATCACAACTGGAAAGCAATCTTCCACAAAAGGAAGACTGTACCCTCAGGGAACCTGACACTCACCTGTACTCTTGGAAATTGACCTCGGGTGGTGAGGGGAAGGGGTGGTTCTGAAATTTTTTTGTATCTTGCCCAAGTCTGACAAAAGTGCAGTTAAAACTTCCAGTGTGAGTGGGGGCTCACCAAAGAGAGAGGGACTGACTGCCAGATGAAGCCATTAAGAGACAGTCATCTTTCCTGAATTACAAACCCAGACACAATTACAAACCCAGACACAATTCCAAAGGTGGCCTTCCTGACTCTGTTCCACCATCCTTCAAGTACTAAGCCAAAACAGAGGGATCCCATGAGGAGACTAAGAAGCCATCCCCAAGTTCTACTTCTCCCCTCTGTTCCCTGTTTCTGTGGATTTTGTACATCACAGGTGGCACACACAAGGCCTGCAGGCTGAATCTGGCCCTCCATCTTGTTTTATCCGGCCCGGCACCCTGTTTCTACCTGGTGGCAGTGCCAAGCTCTTGCTTAATTGTTAAGGAGTAGTTACATTTATACAGTCCTAAAGTTACATTTGGCTCTTTGAAGGCTGATGTGGCCCCCCATGAAAATGAGCTTGACACCCCTGTTGTACATTATTTACAGGGTACACGAAGATTCTATTAAAATTCCTCACTCATCTCACACTCCCCAGACACCAGGTTGGCCCACTCCATCCAGTGTGTGACAAGGAGAAGTAGTCCCTAAAAGGAAGATCTATCTGAAGGAATGTCCCCTAGTCCCTCTCCCATTTACCCTGGTGTCCTGTGCTTACAGCCAGAGGACAGCCCCCACCCATCTCGTCCTCCCACAAAGGCCTAGATGCAAGAGTGAAATTCACTGACTTCCTCTTAGTAGTAAATATATTAAGACTCTGGATGTGTTTGAGTCATAATCAACCTTTGCTAAACTGACAACGCTTTCTTCTTTCTACTTTAGTTAAGGACAGTTTATTGCAACATAAGACACTTCACATGGTCTAATTTCTCCTCAGTGGGTATTTCCAGTTCTGTAAAGAAACTGATCTACTGTGGAGATTAACAGCAAACAACTGAACTTCAGATCATTGGGTGTGGGATCTAAAATCAACCAACAGGAGGCAGGACACTCAGCAGAAAAGACAGGCTTTAACCCTTACTCTGCTTTATCAGTGAAACTCATTCTGACTTTGCAGAGGTCATCTGCATGCCTTTTCTCATTGCTAGAACTCTGAGAGAGAAACTCATGTTTCTATAGGATATAGAGAGAACTACCAAGTCATAGTCTTCTAGGGTGAGACTCAAGCAGGTGGATCATGAGAAAGTTCTTCTCTTTCATGTATACTCTTGGTTAAAAATCACTTTTAAAATGAGATCTGAAGTTTCTGGGGTATGTAGGGTTCAAAAGAAAAAATATGTAATTGTAGCAAAAATATATCCAGAAGGACATTTTAGCATGTGCAATTAAAACCATAGGGTCAATTTTCAATAACCTCAATGCAATGCAGGCGTCCCATTGGGACACAATACGGATTCTCTCTAGAAAGCTAAACCCTGGCAGGGCATAATGAAGCTTTCCTAATTTTCTTATGCTGTGGGTCCTGAGAAACTGGACTGAAATAGCCTCTTTGGATTCCCTCTTAGTACATAAAAAAAAATTCTTTATGCAATGATTTTGACCTTTGTAAGACAAAATCTATACTCACAGAACTTGGTTTTGATTTTACCTGAAAACATCTTCCAATTTAATTTGCAAAGTACTTATTGCATGTTCTCTTAGTACAGTGTGACCTTTTCTTAAAAGAAAGCTTTGAATTAAGCAAAAGCAAAGCAGAGGAGGCAAATACTGTAACCTCTGTGGGGGATAGTAATGTGTGTTTGTTTAAGAAGTGGAAGTCCAATAGATGATGGCATACAAGCAGCAGTATCAGGGGTGTTTACAAGGTCATTGACAGCACCTTGTGATACATCTGTCTAATGTGTCTCCAAAAGTGAGTCTTCCATCCATACTCCATCACACCCCAACACAGACCATCTACTTCTGACTACCATGAACTCTCTACAAGCATGGTAACATCCTTAGTCTTGTGTTTTTGCTTATAAAGCTCCCTATAATTTAAGTAAGGCAACTATGTTCAGTTTATATTCATTCCTTAGGACTGACCATTAATCGATTCCCATATCATCCCTTCCTCTTGGCCTGGAATTCTCAGAATCATTCCCAACACAGCTTCTAGGCAGTTACCACCATTCAATCAGAGTCAGTGAAAGGGATGAAACCTCCACACTAGCCCTGCTCTTACTGTTAAGTTCAACCATATGAAATTGACTGTTTGTTTCATGTTAAATAGGATTGAATGTTGGCAATTTCACATGGTTCAATTTTTAAAGAAGCCTTCTCCTCTCCCCTCTGTGTAGTTTAAAAGTCAACTTCTCTCCTCTGAGTCCCCAGGAGTTATTTAATTATTCCCTCTTTTATGCTCCTATTACATTAAAAATAAAATCTCCCTAGTAGATCCTTTTTCATGCCATATTACAACTTTTTATTTAGACCTTGGTATTCTTAGCTACACAGAATTCTCCTGGGCCAGAGGCATATCATTCTTGTCTTTTTATCCCAAGCCCCCAGCAAAAAAACCTGGCCCTCAGAGGGATTAATAAATATGACTTAAAATTATATGTGTAAACAATAATATAAGTGGAACCACTTCAAAATAGAGCAGAGCTTCTGCTGTGCACATCTTACCCTTCAAACCTTTAGAATGTTTCAATCAGGGAAAACCAGCTTTTGAATTGAGTTAAAATGAGATCTAAAGCAACATGTCCAAAGAACTGTTTGCAAAGATAACAAGAAAGTAGTTATTGTGACCACTGGACTGATAACTACCAGACCTAAAATTAAAAACATTGTTTAGAATCAGCATCACTATGTTATAGTACCTGCACCAATAGAAATCCCTCCCTTCTATTGATGTAATTGCTCCCCTTCCCTCCTCATAAACACCCATTGCCTTTGTTTCCTAACTGGAACACTATTTGGACTTCTGCCTGAATTAATGATTCTAGAATAGCTATTCTTCTTGATCTCAAATAAATGCTTGCTGCTCCTCATTTGGAAAAGCTTTAAAAAATTTTTTTAAGTTAACATATGTTTTTAAAGACCTCTCCATTTGTTTCTTTCTTTTTCTTCTTCTTTTTTTGGCCAAAAATAATGCTTTGTCCAACCAACCTTTCTGGAGTGGGCCTTCTTATGTTCCCTTTTTTATAGCTTGGAATTTGCATGCTTGAGGTTCACATATAGTTATAAGCTGTATCTACGGGATTCATTTCTTTCCTCTTTTCTGGTTCTTTTAAGATTGAGTCATCTAGTTTAACATGACACCTAGGCAGTCTGGTCATCCATTCCCTAGAAAGTTGATGACTGTATCTGCAGCTGTCAGGGAAGGGGCTTCACGTGACAGGCCACAATCTCAGAATAATCAGAGCCTTTTCCAAAGTCTGTCATGCTTGGTCACTCAGAGTGCCACAATCATCAACATTTCAAATTCTGTCAAGATGTCCACAGGGCCACTCTCAAAGAAGACTTGGAATCCTTCAGTTGAGAGAGAGTGTGCCAGGGTCCATGTTTCAGATGAGGCAACTTAGCCCTTTCTTACCTGGAGACGCCCCTGGCAATCATTTCTGGCCTTGGAGGGGCAGGGAAAAGCCTAGAAGGGGTGAGTCCTATCACAGACAGGAAGAAGAAGAAAGAGTAGAAACTTTTGCTCTAGCCCTAACCCTTAGGTGAAGAAAATGGGCTCAAACCAATAGGAGCAAATGTATGGTTTCACACCTGCCTGCCCTTGCAGGGGTTGTTTCTTCTTGG